TTCTGAAAAATAAAATTGATTTGTTCTCCGATTTTTTTTTGTTTTATAAAAAAAAATTCTGAAAAGTTGTCCAGAAATTTTGAAAATTTGAAAACAATATTCCGATTACATTTTTTTTTTACCCGAGATGTCGGACAGATGATGATGGATTTATTCCCGGGGAGTTGAGGACATCAAATAAAAGTGTGCAACGACGATGCGTGACCGCGGTACATCATTATTACCGACAAGGCTTCTGTGGTACGCGGGGGGCGTGTGCATTAAAAATAAAAAGAGAATTGAAAAAAAGAGCCACACGAGGACACCAGCACTTCGTCACCCTCTAATTGTCTTTTACCTTGATAACCCGCGCAAACAGCAGTTTGCAGTAATCACCATTCTTCGATGGTAATGAACGCGGTGATTTTATCGAAGCATTGTTATTAAATTCATCATTTGCGGGAAAGAAAATTACACGTAACTGTGGAAACAACTGTTTCAATGATCTCAATGAAATACTCTTGGAAAAAGACAAGCACTTTTTCAATGGAGGCAGTATCTTATGAAAGTACACGAGTCAAAGGCCATTCTCATCTTTTTTCATATGCATTTGTTGTCCAGGAGCTCATGGCGAATTGTTATTATTATCCAGAAAAATTGATACTGAAAATCGGGTTGATTCATCCCCCGGGTAAAAGAAAATTGTAATCGGAATATATTTTTCCAAGTTTTCAAAAAATTTCTGGAAAACTTTTTAAAACAAAAAAAAAATCGGGAAACAGAATAGTTGCATTTTTTAGAAATGATTTGAAACGATTTGAAATAATTTGATTTTTCAAAACCTTTCCCAAAAATAAAATAATTTTGTTCTCCTTTTTTTTTTTCATAAAAATAATTTTCTGAATACTTTTCCAGAAATTTTTTTAAACATTTGGAAAAAATATTCCGGTGACAATTTTTTTTTACCCGGGTTTGAGAAATTCTTTTTCAGTCTCAGAATATATTTTATATATTGATTTCAATATTAAATCAATATTTCGCGGTAAGAAAGCGAATGTCTGAGAGTATTGCAGTACAATTCCTGGTCATCTCGCAATACATCATCCGTCATGGGACTGGCCACGATTGTTCTCCACCCTCTAATTGTTTTCGTCAGACAAAACCGCACTCGGTGTTATCGCTATAATTGCAAGACACTTTCAGCCGCATTGTTGACTGGTCTGGTGCACCTCAATTCATCGTTGCCTGGGTTTCGCGTTTTGATGAAATATCAGGAGCATAATAGCCGGGGATCCCATGGTGATGTAAAAAAAAGGCCCGGAGGAAATATCCAGCAGTAATTCCTCGACTGCTTCATAATAATTCGGCATTCCGCGATAATTTTGTTGCAAAAAATAATTAAAACAGAAATTAATCCAGAATTCGTCACCGAAATCTCCTCCAGTCGAAATGCAAACGTAAGAAATTCTCAATAAAAATTACCTATCTTTTTTATAATTCCGCTTTTTGGTAATTTCTGGTTGAATTACCTGTGGAAAATTACGGTATGTCGCCACTTAAATTTTCAAAGTTGTGTAATTAACGAGGGAAATGTGGGTTCAGTAATTTTTCGTGGGTATTTCTATCCGTGTGAAAATGAGTTTAAAAATATGGGATTATTTAGAGGAACGTGCGAAAATGACATACCACGAGGACTTTCCCATTTGTATCTCGATGCAACAAGATGGACGCCATGTTGTCGGCATCCTGGTAGATGTCCCCAATGTCGGCGCTTCCCTGAGGCATTAAATTTGTTTGATGATTAAATATAATGGCGTAATGAATTCCCAAAAATCTCAAGGAATACATGAATTTTTCGAGTCCCTATGGTCCGTCCATTTTGATTTTATTACCTCTGGCACTTCTTCGTATTCGAGACCATCAGGACTTGAAGTATTTCTGGAGACCGTCCACATGGGCACATGCTTTTCAGGCTTCAGAAGACCTTTTGTTGACTCCAGTGATAAATTATAATTTTTTCCAAATGCTCTAAGATGAATTTCCGGTTTCACTTCCGGGCTTCGCCTGTGGACCATGTGGAGGACTGGAACCACCTCGTACGCAGGCACTAATTAACAGCGAAAAATTACCCAATGAGTTCTTAAATTACCATTTGAATGATTTTTCCAATTAATTACAATGCACACTCCTCAATTAAAAAAAAATGTGTTGATGAAAATTTATTTAATAAAAAAATAACACACAATTGCAATTCTATTATGTAATACAAAAAGTTTATTCTCAAAAATCTATTCATTCCACAAGAAATAATAAATTTCGTTGGGTCCACTGGGCCCAATCACCGATTTTTATAACCTTGGTATTCTCTTAAAATATCTAATATTTATCTTGGGATTCTGTATATTTGCACAATTATTCCATTATTGGCACAAGGAAGTACCTCAAGGGTCATACAACTCTAGTGTGTGAGTAGCTTCACTGATAAATAATTCATAAAATTCCGGTGATTCACGTCAACATGAATTTGTGGATTCCTGGATGATCTTTACGGTGAACACTCCAAGATGAGGACGAAATGACAGAAATAAAAATGGCAACTTTAAATAAATCGATGACCAATCAATGGCATCGATGAGTCATCGAATCATCCCCGGACCTTGAAAAATTACATGCATAATTTATCCCACAAACATATCGTTTTATTCATTTTTTAAAATGAAAATCGAATCGGCAGTTCATCCAGAAGTCAGGCATTTTTTTTTTCAGCTGACAAAAAATACATCATTTTGAGATAATCTGTTTGCTTGACTGGAGTACAAAAGAGCAGTCTCATGGATCAGAATTGATGCTTGCCGTTCGGCCAAAAAAAATTTGATCAATGAGACTCAGATTTGCACCCGTGACGGGATAATTGAGATGTTCATTCTGAGGAGATCATCCTGTCCAAAAGTGTGGAATGAAAGAATGTTATGGTAATTCATCCTTAATCCCATGAAATATATCCCCTGACCGTTTTTCAATTTCTATTCGGATGAATGCGTTGACCTTATGCCATTTTAATTTTAATTGATTGAAATACTCGGACTTTTAGCTGTTTTAATTAATTCATGGATCGACTTTCCATTTTCACAAAACCGTGGAATAAATTGACGTGAAAAATTCATGGAAAAAAATCATCGATATTCAATGGTAATATTCAATAATATTTATATTCAATAATATACGATGATTTCTTCATGAATTTTCTTCTCTCTGTGTAATTACAAATCTAT